GACCTTTTGTTAGAGATTTCCTTGCCTCCCTGTTCCTGGCTCAGACCAGACAGTCCTGAGACAGAAGACCCTTGACTATTCCATCCCTAATGTGGAATGCAAAATATACCCTCACCCCTACCAAAAAAGAAATGCTGCCTGTAGTCAGTCGAATTGCTGTAACTGTGCCTCAGCCCTGTATAGAAAATGATGTGATCCTGTTACATTTCCCCAGACTGTGCCTATACAAACGGCCCTTAAACCTCCCCACTTCGGGGCAATGACCCCATCCCTTTGAAGTCTGTGTCCTCCCAGGTGGCCATCCCCAGACTTTGTGCTCAAGTGAACTCAATATTTAATCACACCGCCTGAATCTCAGCACTAAGGTCGATAGCCCAGCTCCCAACCCACGCCTCCACTCCCGCCCCACTCCTAGCCTTGGCCTCCCACCCCTGGACTCAGTCTCCAGCCCCGGCCCCCAGTCACAGCCCCCGGCCCCCAGACTCAGTCCCCAACCCCAGCCCCAGCCCCAGTCCCAGCCCTGGCCCCTGCACTCAGCCCCCGGCTCTCACCCCAGCCCCAGCCCTGACCCCTGCCCCTAGCTGTGCCCCTGAGCCGGGCAGGCCCTGCGGCCCCCATCTTCCCACCTCTGCTCTTCAGCGCCTGCCTCCACAGGATCCTCCCTATCACATCGGTCCACGCGCGCTTGACCTCTGCCGAGCTTGCTTGGAGAATGTAGGTGTCCTGAGATTTCCGCCGCCTGCGAAACCAAATCTCAAACCTCGAGCCACTGTCCCCGACGTTCTCTGTCATCCCGATCTCGGCCGTCTGCAGTCAGCAAACACCCGTGGCAGCACCATCAGGAACACAGATCTCTGAACGACTCGCTACCCCAATTCCTCAGGGCTGGCGGTCACGTCACCCAGACACCAAATGACAAATGTGTGGGATGCGTCAGGGCGGGCAAAACCTCACTGCTCACTGCTGTGTGAGGCTGCCTGTGAGCGTGCAAGGGAGAGTGCGTGTGCAGGACAGCTGCCCATGAGTGTGCAAGGCTATGCACGAGTGTGGGAGGCTGCTTGTGTGTGAGCCCATGTACCCTCATGGCCTCTGTCAAGAAGGGAGGGACCTGGCCTCCCTCAGCACAGCCGAGTCACAAGCGGGAACCTGCCCCCCATGGTGCGTCAGCGACGCCCTCTCTGTGCACCTCCCAGAGCCAGGCGAAGGCCCGTGCCCGTGCTCACCCTCTCTGTGCCCAGAGCCGGGGGAAGGCCCGTGCCCGTGTTCACCCTCTCTGTGCACCTCCCAGAGCCAGGGGAAGGCCGTGCCCGTGTTCACCTTCTCTGTGCACCTCCCAGAGCCGGGGGAAGGCCCGTCCCGTGCTCACCCTCTCTGTGTACCTCCCAGAGCCGGGGGAAGGCCGTGCCCGTGTTCACCCTCTCTGTGCACCTCCGAGAGCCGGGGGAAGGCCCGTGCCCGTGCTCACCCTCTCTGTGCACCTCCCAGAGCCGGGCAAAGGCCCGTGCCCGTGTTCAACTCTGTACAGAATCCACAATGCAGTTTCTGACTGAGAAGACACTTGTTTCTCAGCCCTTGGACTGGACATGGGACTGGAGAAGACACACGTCTCCTTGCCAATTTCGGGGCTAACGTTTTCAAGAATTTACCCAAGAACCACAGAAATCAAAACATCGCAGTTCGGCTCCTCCCAGCTTCACTCCCTCCCAGTTCCTCTGCTCGCCTCAGGTGAGACAGGGTCCGAGACCCCCTGGGAGGGCCTGGCTCAGCCTGCGCCCGATCGGACCAGGCGGGTGCTACCTTGAAAGACTGCTTGTACAGGTAGACGTCGTGGCCGCCCTCCACCTTCTGGGTCTTGCTGAACAGGATGAGGTCTTCAAAGAGGAACACGTGCCTCAGATACTTCTTCCTCCCGCAGCAAACGATAAACTCATCTTGGCATTTCAGCTGCCCCTGTTCCTTCAAATTCACCTGCAGAGGAACAGCCAAGGGGCTGGCCTTGGCTCATTCACACAGGCCCACGGCCGCTCACGCACACACTGCTGCCTGTGACCGGCCGTGTGGGTCTCGCCAGACCCTGCCGTGGGGGTTGTGTAGCTCAGTGTAGTGAAGGCTGCCCCGGCTGCCCCCAACCCCAGACGCCCCAAAGGCCAAGGGTGAGCTGGGAAATGGCTGGTCCGTGGGGGCGCCGGCTCCACTCCGGCAGGCTGCCGTGTCCCCGGGCCTGGGATGGGCAACACCCCAGTGGCAGAGCAGGGCGTGGAGGGTGGGGCCTCACATCGGCTGGAGAAGGCAGGCCCATCTCGGGCCCCAACACCCGTGGAATCCGGGCTTGACCCTAGTGCCTTCTCACAGAGGGCTGGGGTGCAGCACCCACATCCACCTGTTTTCAATGCAGCCCAGGTAAGCAGACCCCCAGTCACTCAGAGCCTGCTTTGCATGTCCTGTGCAACTGCAGCCAACATCTGCCAGCCATTGTCAAACCCCGGGGCTCCAGAGGCCTCAAGCCTTGCTGCTCCCTGACATTGCCCAGACAGGTAAGACCCTCCTCCCAGTGGCCTCCACTGCAGCCTTCAGAAGGCTGTGCTTTGAAGGGCTTCTCCGGGGCAAATCTGCCAGCACATCACCAAGAAAATGATGCTGCTGGGCCAAGACTTTCTCACCAGTGGCCTCCAATTCCCCCAGCTAGCCTGAGCTGCCAGCGCCTGGGGCACTTACGTCACAGCCGCGGATGGCGTCCATGGCCAGCAGGTCATTGCCGTGGCGCAGCTGGAAGCAGACCACGACCTCGGCGGCTCGGAGCTCGCCCAGCTCCTGCCCCTGGGCCGGGCCGCGGCTGGCCTCCTTGAGCAGGTCCTGGAGCAGCAGCTTGTACTTGGCCACGCGCTGCACGGGCCGCAGCAGGTAGGAGGCCAGGTCCATCTTGTCACCCAGCTCCCGCTGCTTGTCCTGCAAGGGCCGGGGGAGAGGGTCAGCTCCGGCCTGGCTGAGGGCCGCGCAGCTGCGGGGGTGGGCCGAGGGGATGACCTTGAAGAAGGCGTTGCCGTGGCTGCTGAGCAGGGCGTCCGACTGCGGCTTGTTCTTGCTGTAGACCACGTACATCCCAAACTGCTCTTCCTGGAAAAGCAGAGGCCACTGCTTGGCTGTGGGGGTGACAGGCCCGGAGACAGCTCTTACAGCCCGGGTCAGACTTGGGGGTGACAGGCCCAGAGACGGCTCTTACAGCCCGGGTCAGACTTGGGGGTGACAGGCCCGGAGACGGCAGGCTCTTACAGCCCGGGTCAGACTTGGGGATGACAGGCCCAGGAGACGGCTCTTACAGCCCGGGTCAGACTTGGGGGTGACAGGCACGGAGACGGCAGGCTCTTACAGCCCGGGTCAGACTTGGGGGTGACAGGCACGGAGACGACAGGCTCTTACAGCCCGGGTCAGACTTGGACCTGCTCCCGTCCCAAGACCCTCCAGGTGCGGTTCGTACCATGACCAGGTGACAGGGAGACTCAGCCCTTCATTACAGACTATCGCAGTGTCCCCAGCAAGGGGGCCCCAGAGGTGACCAGTTTACCAGCTGCAACCTCAATGCTGAGAATTCTGTAATTTGTCTTTAAAACACAGACTCCAGGGGGTTGAGGGGGGAAGAGGATACAGCTGGCAGTGGGCCTGGGAGGGCGTGGGGGGCAGTGGAACGATTTGGTCAATGGCCAAGAGCTAAAGCTGTCAAGACATTTAAAATTGCCACAATTATGGTCAATATGAATCTGTACTTTATGTCTAAAAGCACCTTTTAAGAAAATGCTGAGGCCGGGCACGGTGGCTCACGCCTGTAATCCTAGCACTTTGGGAGGCCGAGGCGGGCAGATCACAAGGTCTGGAGTTCAAGACCAGCCTGGCCAGCACGGTGAAACCCCGTCTCTACTAAAAATACAAAAATTAGCCAGGCCCGGTGGCGTGCACCTGTAGTCTCAGTTACTAAAGAGGCTGAGGCAGGAGAATCACTTGAACGCGGGAGGCGGAGGCTGCCCTGACCTGTGATTGTGCCACAGCACTCCAGCCTGGGCGACACAGCGAGACTCCATATCAAAGGGAAAAAAAAAAGAAAGGACACTGAAAAGATGGAACATGAGCTTCTTTTGTCCACGGCTGTTTTCGATGTGGTAATCTGTGCTCAATGGTCTGGGACACACGTCCCGTCGGGACAGGCTGGTCCCTCTGGCAGGTAACGGGGCACCCAAGGGCAGGGGGCCTGTGAAGGGGTGAGGCCTGGCCCCTCCCCAGAAGGTGATTCTGGGAACTGCTTCTGGCCTATCAGCCGGAAGTGGTAAAGGAGCTGGCGGAACGGGTGTGATGGTGTCCGCGGAGCCCCCGCCTCCAGGGGCAGCAGGGAGGCAGTTGGTCACACCACCTGCAAAGCACTGGGCACTGGAGACCCACAGGTTATCCATGTGGGGCGTCTGTTTGTCGGCTGGTCTAATCATCCCGTCAGGACCAGCTCCCAGGCCTGGGCGGAAGCCACTCCAACCGCCTGACACGTGGGCGCTGCAGGACCCGCCTCCCTGACACCGGCTTCGCCCACCACGTCACCCGTCGTCCACGCCACGGCCTGCACTCACGTGTCTCAGGAAACTGCGGCCCACGGCCAAGGGGCAGTGCCGGCAGCGCTCCAGCTCCCGGAGGAAGTGCTGCTGGTGGAAGTCGTGGAGCTTCTCCAAGTTGCCGAAAATAACGTGGTGCTTCCCTCGAAGGCCCTGGGGCAGGTCCATTCTCTCCATTTCCGGAAAATAGTTGTCGATGACGTATCCTAAGCACCGGACGTACTCCCTCTCCGTAGCGATCATCTCGGCCATGATGTGCCTCAGGCGGCTGCTGGAAGACACAGAGATCCCGGGGGCACAGGGCCCCCCACGGACACGTTATTAAAAGCAATTCACGCCTGAGACAGAAACACACGGAGACCCGGAGGCACGAGCACGGTCACACGTGGACCGGAGGCACATGGGCACATGTGGGATTCACAATAAAGACACTTCTGGCCGGGCGCGGTGGCTCACGCCTGTAATTCCAGCACTCTGGGAGACTGAGGTGGGTGGATCCCAAGGTCAAGAGATAGAGACAGCCTGGCCAACATGGTGAGACGTTGTTTCTACTAAAAATACAAAAATTAGCTGGGGGAGGTGGCACGCACCTGTAGTCCCAGCTACTTGGGAAGCTGAGGCAGGAGAATCACTTGAACCCGGGAGGTGGAGGTTGCAGTGAGGCGAGACTGAGCCACTGCACTCCAGCCTGGCAACAGAGCGAGACTCTGTCTCAAAAAAAAAAAAAAAGAACCTTCCAGCCGACCGCACGTCCTCAGCAGGGAGTGACTCACCTGCACCCCGCTCATTCTCTCCCTGTTACCTGGAGCCGCTCCCCTGATACACGGTAACTTGAAAAGATAAGGACAATATTTCAAAAAGAAGCTTGTCACGTGAAACATTTCCATATGTTTCAGAGGAAAGATTCCCTTGGAAGCCCAGAAAGAGATTCCCAGGCTCCCTAACGGAAACTCTGAACGTAACGTTTCTCGTTCCAGCCGGTTCGATTCTAGCGGTAACACGACTCAAACACTTCCAGCCGCAGCGCTTCTGCAAGGAAGGCTGTGGTGGAGATTTCGTGCGAAAACAGCTTTCGGATCCACGCCCACTGCTGACCGACCAGGAGATTTTCCTGAGAGTCGGCTTCCGCGGCAGTCACTCCTGACCCAAGGGGCTCAGCACCTTACGCAGCAGCTTCAGGGGGACTCGGGGGCCGCAGCGGCCGGAGAGCAAGGCTGGGGGCGCAGGACGGCCCAGAGGTGGACAACAGCAGGCTAGGCCCCAGGGACGGTCGTCCATGGAACCCCCTGCCCCACCCTCGGCTGGGGTCTCCCTGCCTTGAACGAGGGTCCTGCGGAGGGGCCGCCGAGCAGGCTTTGTAGGGGCACTGCTCCCGTGAGGGGCGAGCCTCCGACGCGCTGCTGAGTCTTCGAAGAACCCGTCCTGACAACACACGTCTGCGGGAGATGTGGGCTCCTCCGCGGCTGCCCGGAGTCTCACCACCTCTGTATCCCCAGGGCTGGCAGGACCCGGAGGACCCACTCGTGTTGCCCTGACAGAGTGGAGAGGTGGGCTGGCCGGTGTGGTCAGCTTGGCCGGGGGGGTCCTCGCATGCAAAACTGCGGTGCTGGGATCACAGAGGCCCAAACTGGGCTTCCCAAACCAGGTGCTATTCTTTTGTGTATTTTTCTCTTTTTTTTAACCATTAAAAACATGCTAAGCATCCAAAAACACTTTTACATTCACTGTAAACAAATGCAGGACGCTTAGGCTGGTGGCTCGGTTTCATGAGCTGGCTGGAGTGTGGCCACCTGGTCGCTCTCGGCAACTGAGCCTGGAGGGCAGGGCCCACACTCCGGCAGCGTGAATGCCAAAGCCTGGCCTGGGCTGTGGGACTCCCCGGGAGAAGGTTCTCTGGGTTCTGCTGGGGTGGGGTCTGGTGTGTCCCACAGCTCTGCAGCTCTGACCACCCATCAACTGCACTTGCAAAGGGCCACTGGTGACCCGGGGGCCCTCCCTAATAAATAGTGAGGTACACGGCTTTTCTGCTCTACTCGATAGCATCTTACCCCCAACCTTCTTAAATAACTCGATCCTAATGATACCAGTGGGAGTTGGAAGATTATTTTTCTACCATTATTTGTATTTGCTTGTTTTTTAAGTTGGAAAAACTTAAAAGCAGCTAATGCTGGGAAGCACAGCTGTGGGCAGACGTGCTGCTGAACGCACATTCCATTCACAGCAGAGCTGCAGAACTTGTCCCCTTCACTCCTGCATCACAGATTTGACAGATTCTCACTGTTTCTGAGAACACAGCACCTCCCGGCTGGTCAGGAACTGGCCCTCACAGCACAGGCGGGAAGGCCGAGGCCCGATGTCACGACCCACACAAAAGCCTCCTCAGTAAATATCCAGACACAAAATCAGAACGAGGATGGTCTTGACCAAATGGACAATGTACTCACTAGGCAGCAACAGCTGGAAATCACACAGGGGTGGGCGGGGGTCCCCCCTCCTGTGTTCTGCCGCCTCCCAAACCTGAAACATGGGCTCAGTGGAGACAGAATCGTCAGTGCAGCCACCTGCTGAGACTCAGGGACAGCGCTCGGCGTTCCTCTTACCGATTCGGAAGGGCCAGCCTGTACTCAGGCCCAGCCGGCAGATATCCCTGGATCACTCACACCAACGGTAAAAACCAGAACTTCAGGTTCTACCTGGAGTTTTACTCTTAACAAGGTGAAGACTGAGGTTTGGCACCTAAAGGTGTGTTTCAGAAGAGCGTTCTGTGGCCTTCTCCGTTCAGATTAAACCTGCGATCAGGGCATGAGGAGGAAACCCTTTCTATGAAGCTTAAGGCAGAGGCCCCCAAGCCCCGGGGCCACCGACTGGTGCCCGTCTGTGGCCTATCGGGAACCAGGCCGCCCAGCAGCAGGTGAGCGGCAGGCAGCGAGTTACCAGCTGAGCTCCGCCTCCTGTCAGATCAGCGGCGGCGGTGGAGTCTCGGAGGAGCACGGACGCTGCCGCGCGCGGGAGGCGTCTAGGTTTCGTGCTCCTTATGAGAATCTAAAGCCTGATGAGCTGAAGTGGAGCAGTTTCATCCCAAAACCATCCCCCCAACCCCTGCGGTCTGTGGAAAAATTGTCTTCCATGAAACCTGTCCCTGGTGCCAAAAAGGTGGGAGATTGTTGGCCCAAGACGCAGAAGCCAACCAAATGACAAAGCACCTCCTGAAATTCTCCACCTCCAGCCCTCACGGCCACACCGCATGGGCGGAAGATGGGGTTCAGACGGCATCCGGCCTAGGCAGGGGCCGAGCGCGCCCACCCTTACCTGTGAGCAGATGCGTCCTTTGCAGGCTCGACAAGTGAGAAGGGGCCTCTTCAGTGAGGCAATGGACGCACAGGTGCGCCTTCGTACCCTAACACTTAGAGACTTTCTAAAACGTATTTTTAAGGTAACCCTTCTTGGTGTCGGGGGTTGATTTGCTGCCTGTAATTTTCTGTAAGTGGGCTGAAAATAACTGGAGTTGGTCACACGGTTACTTAACCATCAGAGTGAGTGTGTGCGGGTTAACACACACCATCCAGGCAGTTTTCAGTGGTCCCTTCTGAACATGGGGGCAGGTAACTCATATCTAGTTTAAAATTGTGTTTCTTCTTGGACCGGGCAGGTGGACCCAGAGGGATGTCTGTGGATTTACTTTCTACTTTGCAGAAGAGAGTTTAATGCCGAAACGGCTTTGGGTTTCTAGATCCCCAAGGGCTGCTAGGACGAGAGGAGGGGGATGTTCACCTTACCTGCCCACCTGCCGCTTCCCGTCCTCCTCAGCAGGGTGGAGCCCCGAGGGAGAGGACAGACTCCGGCTCCGAGTGACCGGGTGGCTCCTGGCCTGCGGCTGCAGCAGGAGCTTCTTCTCTGTGGCCACAGTGCTGGTTACCTCCAGGCCCTTGCTGAAGACACTGGTATGGCCTGGCTGGCAGGAGTCCCTGGGGCCACTGTCGGGCTGAGGTATCTCGAAACTTTGCATTTTCTTTACCATTTTCTTCTGGGGATGTTTCCTGGGGCGGCTGGCCGGGGTCTGGGTGGGCTCAGAGGAGCAGGCAGAGCTGTCCTCCGGGTGGGCCATGGTGGCCGCTGTCCCTGAAAGGCCCCCGAGGGGGGACACTGGGTCCCATGGAGCACACAGCCCTGGACCCAGGGGCTCCCCATCCTGTCCACACAGAAGTGCTCGTCCAGGGAGGCCAGGTTCCCAGGCACCATCCTCAGTGTCTGTGCTGGGAACTGAAGGTGGCTTATGGGGCCTCCTCATGGCCTCCTGAGCACACTCATGCTTTGGGGGGCTCTGGGCAAGAGGCGGTAAGCTGGGGCCTGGGGCGGCCTCAGCAAGGGCCTCTTCCAGATGGAGCTGGGTCTGAGGGCACTGCAGCCACAGGTCTTGCGGCGATGCCCACGGTCTCCCCAGGGTTTGAGGCTTCAGCACTGCCACACCTGCCCCGGGGAAGGCCTCTGCAGCCACCGAGGTAGCCTCCTGGTGACAGCTCCTCAAACACTCAGCCACGGGTGAGGAGGGATAAGCCTCCGGGTCCAGGGGCCCCATCCAGCTGCTCGCCTGTGGGACAAGGAGGGCTCTGCTCAGTGCAGTGGAGGAGGGGCCGCCCCAGAGCCAGCTCAGGCACTGCTGTTCCCAGGTCAGCCTAGTCAGGGACCAGGGGACCAGACAGCAGAGGGAGAGGCAGCCCTGCCAGCCAGTGGGGGCTGTGGCCGGGTTCAACTGAAGGGCAGGTGGGCTGTATCTGACCCCACGGGGTCTGTTCTCCATGCCAGAGGGCACCATGGGGGATGTCCTAGGACCACGTGAAGACACCGTGTAGGTGCCACATCCTGTGAGCTGAGAGAGGCATGACGGGGCAGATGGCTCTACCCTGCTCTGGCCACCCCATGACCCCCTCAAATGCTGTCTTAACAGGTGAGCTCCTAATGGCGTGTGGTCCCAGGCGCGGGGGAGTTCGCCGGCGTGCGGTCCCGGGCGCGGGGGAGCTTGCAGGCATGCAATCTGCTGCAGCACTTGTTTGGGGTTTTGGGCAGTCAGTGGAATTTTGTAACTGAGCCACTAAACACACAGAGAAATGTGTGTGTGAGTTTGGCTGGTCTGTTTGGTACAGTATCGAATGCTTCACAGGTCAACTCAGAGCCTTCTCCAGAGAGCTGTGGGTGCAGTGGCCAGGGGCTCCATCGCAGGCGCCCGGCCTCTGTCCCAGAGCCTGGCCCACCCTCTCCAACTTGTGTGGGGAGGCGTAAATGCCCACAGCCTAAGGAGGTGGGATCTCTGGGACGCACACCCGCTGGGTCTCTTACCGTCTCGCACAACTCGGATGGGCGGGTCCACCTGGCCAGCTCTCCCTCCCTGTACTCAGCCTGGCTGACCACGGTGCTCAGTCCCCTTCTGAAATCCTGGACCATTTCCTCTGTATGATGTGGGTTCTGCTTCACCAGCTGCAGTCCTTTCTGGCAGGATTGCTGCACCCAAGGAACACATTATCAGTACAAGCCTGGTGCTTCCACGTTCGTGTCTCCAGGTGGGGGCGGGGTCTGCGTGTAGCCACCAACACCAAGGCTGGGACGGCCCACAGTGCTGCCTGCCGCTGCCTCCCGTTCTCAAGAGCAGGCACCAAAGGACCGAGGAATTTCTCTAGTTCTTTTCCAAACCGTGATTTGATCTACACAGGGGAAGAACATTTATATTTAAACACATGAAGGAGTCACACTCTAGGATTTAGCAGGACCCCGGGAGGGATGTGTCTTGGTCCTGTCCTGAGTACACGCTGCACAGGGCTGACGGCCTGGCTGCGTAACCCCCGTGAATGGACACGACTGATGAGAGGTGGTCACAGGCCTCTGAGGCTCAAGCTCCAGGCTATTTTCATTGTTTGGAAATGGACATTAAAATCATTGAACGATAGACCCAGGACTTTCCACTTTGAAACTGGTTAATATGGTAAACATATTCCAGAAATATTCTTCATGCAAGTGGCTGCTTGGCCCCTTGAGGCTGCCTGGGAAAGACGGGGGAGCCCTTGGCTGAGCCCTGCTGGGCAGAGCGCCTGTGGCTACGTACCCTGGTGACAAGACCAAGGTTCTTATTTTGGAGGCGTTTACCGCTGGACTCAGTGGAAATGTCAGAGGTAAGCCCTTCATGTTGTCATTAAACAGCAACACCAGGGGCGACTGGGGGTCAGATGCCCAGAGATGAGAGGCCTGTTATGGAGAAGAGAACAGCTGGCTGGATCCATAACCATCAGAAAGGTACCCAGTGACCCCAGACATGCAGCAGAGAAGAGACAGACCAGTGCGTACGCTGTCTTTAAACAGAGCCAGAGTCAAGAAGAGAATCACAGCACCTTGATTCTTAGGAGCACAGGTGGAGCCTTGGAGCTGCCAGGTGAGGGGCAGGTGCGGTATCGGCAGAGCCGAGTGGGGGTGGCGCAGAGCCAGAGCCCAGCCTCCAACCTTGCAGGAAAATCGGCTGTCACTGGTTTCAAGATTTAAATACAAAAATTCAAGTCGTAAAGGTTCTATGATGAACTATACTAATAATTCTATAACCTTAGAGTAGAAAGGGTTGTTTAAAAGATAAGCAAAGCTAGAGGACAAATGAAAAACTGGGAAAACAAGTGGAACGTGAAGGATCCGTATAACACAGACAGAAGTGATGATCAACCCTAGAAAAACTGTCTAAAGCATGAACAAGTAATTCACTACAGAAATAAAAATAATAAATGTGTGAAGAGAATGTCCAGCTGTAGCATAGAAAATCTGAGGGCACACTGCTGAGGGGCTCCATTTCCCCGCGGGGTGGCCGGCAGGAGGCAGGTGTGGCTGGAGTGCCACGGCCCGTGCACGGAAACCTCCAAAGACGAATGGCCTGACCCAGCCATCCGAGCCTAGGAATGTATCCAGAGTCAACACCCACGGGCTGTGAAGGAAGCAGAGACACAGAGCTGTTCAACATGGGGACGCTTCTAACAGCAGAGAGGGGAGGAGCCCAGAACCATCAGTGCGAACACGGCTCGGGGACCCAGCTTGCAGCGCACGCCCACGCACAGGGTGCCAAGGCCGCCACATGCATCATCCCGTGTGTGAAAATCTATTTGTTTCTAATTTTCCCACAGTGTGCACGCACTTCTTAGGTTAAATATATAGAGACAGACGTGCACCTATACATAGCTTGACCCCCTATCCGGTCACGTGTAGAGTTTCTGTGTGAAGACTGCAGAGCGAGATGTGTCCTCTTGAGACACCACTAAAGCCCTGCCAGCATCTTCCAAGGTGTGTGACCCTCAGCACAGTGGGCAGAGAGCAGCCAGGGCACAAACCTGGAGGCCAGGAAGGAGGCGGGAGTGGCAGGGCCTGAGGAGAGCAGAGGCGAAGTCCCAAGACTCCACAGGACGGCGTGAGGGAGTGTGGGAGGGAAGGAGCCGGGGCGCCTGCTCCACAGGGCCCGGGGTCTGCTCCCGGGTTGGGGTGATCCAGGCAGTGCAGCAGGTGAACACTGAGCTGTGGCCAGGCGCCCGCTTCAGGCCGGGATCAGAGGAGAAGAATCAGATCACCAGGGAGAAAACGCTACAGACGCGTGGGCCATGGGCTTCCTAACCAGGGGGGCCAGGAAAGCCTCTGGTACCAGAGCACACCGCAGAAGCCACAGGCCGTGCACTTGTCGTGATTAGCACAGAGGGGGGATCGTTCAGAAAACAAACAAGCCTGTGGAGTTAAAAAGCAAGAGCAGAAACAAAAACCCAATAATAGAGTCAGAGGGTAAAGCCGAGAACGTCTGCCTTACAAGGACAGCACACAGCTGGCGGTGGGGAGAACTGAGGCGACAGGACAGAAAACTCCAGGACCAGATTGAAGGGTGGAGCCGTGGGAAACGCAAGCACCACGAAGGACGAAGGACGTGTCACAGAAGTCCCAGAAGAGAGGAGCGCGGTGCAGACGCAAAGAGCACACCTGCCCTCAGCGCACCTGCCCTCAGCGCACCTGCCCTCAGCGCACCTGTCCTCAGCGCACCTGCCCTCAGTGCACCTGGGAGACCCTCAGATTCCAGAGCCCCGAGGATGACAGGAAAGTCTGCAGCTTCCAGCGAGAAGCAGGGCGCAGGCGGAGGGCCGGGAGTGGGACGGAGGCTAAGCTGGGGTGCAGGGCCTTCCAGCTGGCGGAGGGAAACTGAAGTGACTGCTGGCCGTGAAGGTGGAGTAGAGACACTTTTAGGTACCACGGCCTCAAAAATGCTCATCCCAAGATCCCGTTCTCTGGGAAGTCCTGGAAGTTATTCTGCATAAAACACCAAAGTAAATGAAAAAAGAGGAAGACGTGGGTACAGGAAATAGGAGACCCCACAGGACGGGGCAGAGTGGGGAGGGAGATGGAGGAGACCCCAGGACAAAGCGAAGGGAGGAGGGGAGATGGGGGAGACCCCCCAGGAAGGAGTAGGACGAGGAGGGGAAGACGAAGGAGACCCTCAGGATGGGCAGAGGGAGGAGGAGAGATGGAGGAGACCCCCCAGGACAGGCAGAGGGAGGAGGGGAAGATGGGGGAGATCCCCCAGGACAGGCAGAGGGAGCAGGGGAAGATGGAGGGAGACCCCCAGGACAGAGGACACAGAGACAGCCCGGACTGGCTGGTGGCTGCAGCTCTGCCTGACTGCACTTGCCTGGTGTGGGGTTCCTGCTCCCACCCCAGGGCTTGGACCAGCTGGGCCCCTGGCCAACGCCTGGGAGCTGGGGTCAGTAGTGGGGAGGCCGGGAGCGAGCACACCGCCTCACGTCCCTGCCGCACGTCCCTCACGTCCCTGGAGGCTCCCGTGAGGGCGAGCGCATGGACCTGAAGGCCGGGGGAGCTTGTCAGCAGATGGGAGGGCTGGCGATGCCTCCAGCCCCGCTGCACGCCTCTCCATGCTGCCGGCTTTCACCCGCACATTCATTGCAGTAACAGTTGTTGATAAAATAATAAGGATTTATATTAAAATGTGCAAGTTTTGAAGAGTTTATATGCAACAAAACAGAGAAACGTTTCATCTGAGCATGCGCCCCTTAAACTGTCAGGCCCAGAAGAGCACCAGAGTGAGGCAGCAGCGCTGTCCGTGCCCCCAAGCTAAGCAATCATTTTGCTGGCACCCCCCGAGTTAAGCAATCATTTTGCTGGCACCCCCCGAGCTAAGCAATCATTTCAGAGCCGCTGCTATATGGACCGCAGATTCTGCAGTGTGTCCACCAAGGGCCATCAGTAACCCCAGCCACGCTGCACACTGGACACCACAACTCACACCCTGTCATCCAGCAGCGCGTGGTCAACCCACCAATGCCATTTCTGTGACCCAGAGAATCATGAAAAGCCACCTCTGTCGTCACCCCTCCTGACTTGTCCTCTTTTCTTTAAAACCTCGAGCCTCTCCGTGGCCTCCAGAGCCACTTCCTGAGGTCACCTGGAGGTTGTTTCCCGGCTGCCGTCCTCAGCCTCGGCCCAGACCCTCTCTACCTGTGCAGTTTCACCTCGGCTCCTCGGCCACCGTGTGCACACGCACGTGGAAAAAGCATCCGGAAGATGATACACCCAGCCATTCACACGGGTCACATCAGAAGACACAGTGTGAAATTATTTTTCTCCTTGGCCTCCTCTGGATTAAACAAATTTTTTTCTCCACTGATCCAGTATCTCTCAGGTAAAAAATAAAATTTATTTCTTTTTACACAAGCAGCAAGGCATGCCCTATCCTGACGTAATTTCGTTCCAGATGGAAATCAGGTCAAGGCCCTAAAGACGCAGTGTGAAGGTGGGAGGGTCGCCTTGGCCAGCCTGGCCTGGAGGGGACGCTGACCAGGCCTCCTTCTTCCTGCAGCTCTGACCTGGTCATTCCCGTCCTGGAGCGATGCCAGCTCCCGGAGGCGCTCCAGCTGCTGGAGACGACTGTTCGAGGCGAGGACCAGCCTGTGCACCTCCTCATCCACTCGGTCGTACAGGCTGGTGGCAGCCTCCAGGGTGTCCCTGAGGAAGAGGAGGCAGTCCTCAGGCTCCCAGGCGGCCCCTGGAGGAATCTGCTCTTGGTGACAACCCCAGGTAAAAACGCTGCTCTTTCCGTTCCCTCATGTCAGAAGCCAACGGGAGCCCCAGGAGGAGGCCCACAGCCCAGGCGGCACACAGACGTGCTGCACGCGTTCTGCCAACATCCTGGCCGGCCTGGGATGCAGGCGCCTGGAGGGGACCCATAGCCTAGGCTGGACTGGCTGCGTGCAGCTGAGATACATGGGGACGGCTGGGGGTGGGCACAGCTCCCCAGGCAGCACGGGTCAAGAATGAGCTCATTCTGGCACACTCTGGCCACCTCCCACCGAGCGTCCCCAGAAGCCGGCTCCTTGATCTTTGGAGCCTGTAAATGTGGAAAAGCTCGGACCCAGGCAAAGCGTGGCTGTCAGAATGGAGGTCTGGACCCAGCACAGACAGGGCTCTCCTTGGAGCAGAGCGCTACGCCTCCTGGCTGCAGACTCCCCTGAGCAGCCCCCTTGATGGGTCAGGGCCCAGCATGGCCCCTGTGACCACTCACCGGCCATCTTCTGTGCCGAGTTCTTCTCTCCTCAGCCGTGCCAGGACGGTGCCCCCCTCCAGCCTGAGGGACACAAGCAGTGGGTTTTCCAGGACAAGCTTCATCATCGTCTCGTGCTGGTCAATTAACTCGGTGACTTCCTGCATGGGGTGGGGAGGAATACGCCTTTAACCCCCTCCTCCAAGGGGCAGGTCCTCCCAAGTGCAACAGTGGCAGGAATGTGGAGTGTGACCCACGTTCCTGTTTCCGTAAATCAAGCTGGTGGCACGACCGTGCCCACTCCTGAAGCTGATGGTCTAGACTGTCCCAGGGAGGGTGAGCCCCAGGGTAAGACCCCTGGGAGGGAGAAGAAGGGGGCTCAAAGCTCAACTGTAGGAGGTGAACCTGCCATTTAGACCAGGGACAGACATGCAGGCCTCACCCACAGACCCTGGGCCCCTCGGCCTGGCGGCTGGGCTCTCAAGAGCCCTGTGGTCTGCCCGCCTCTGTCTTGTTGGAGTGACTCATTCCTGGCAGCCGCTGCTGCTCACGCCGCTGCACATCGTCAAGTGCAGTGACACGGTTTTCCTTCTGGGTACGGTGGAACATTTTTGGTGACAAAGGGGAGGAAATGGCCTTTTGTGAATTGAGAGGGAATTTAAGAGTTCAAGCCTAAACAGGATAATGAAAAGGGATCTGAAAATCTCTGCTACAGATGATGGTGAACCAAATATTTATTTTCATGTTTGGCTAAACCTTTCTGCCCCCACCTACCTGTCACACGAAGTGAACTTACCTGCCAGTGTGGGGACTTACCTGGGCTGTACTTGGGGTTCTGTGGGTGTTCAGGGAGCAGAATGAATTCTGTAGAAAAGTGATGGCTTCTTCGCAGTTTCCAGCGAAGTGTTCCAGCCTCTGTCGTGAGTTGAGAGGGAGGAGATTATAAGGACACGGTCTGTCAGATGCTAAAGAAAGCAGCTGTGAGTTCCAGTTCCTGCATTTAAACCCATCTCGGGTTGGGAAGCTTCCATGTGTGAAGGTCCCTGAGATCTACAGACACTTCTGGGGCAGCAGTGCCCTTCCCACCCAGGCTTGGCATCTCAGATGCACCACGGCGTGGTTGTGGAGACACCAAGACCTGAATGGTGACTGTAATAGGCATGAGATCAGGGATGGTGATGTCTTTTCAAATTTGAGTAAAAACGTCCACATGAGAGAAAGTCCCCGGAGACCGTGGCATGTGCAGCAGCTGCGGGCTGAACCCACCTGACGGAAGCAGATCCAGTCACCATGGCTGTAGGGAAAGGAGCCGTCGAGGTCTGTGGTCAGCTGGCAGCTGTCGACAAATTTGTGCAGGGCCTTCAGGGAGCTCACGACCTCACACTGCCAAGAAGAGGCACTCGTTGGTCATGGCTCCAGATGCATCTCTTGGGGGAAAACCCTGTAAATGGCTCATTCCTGGGTTTGGAGGACGGAGAGGCTGGCTCAGGGAGTATCGCCCCTGCTTTGCTGGAGGCACTGATAACAGCACCTGTCCGGGTGCAGTAATGAAAGTGAGAAGATGGGAAAGCAGGGAGCAAAGAGAAATGAAGGAAAGGCCCTGGTGAAGAAAAACCAAAAAAAAAAAAAAAAAAAATGGGGAGAAAGAAGAAGGAAAAGGGAATGAATGAGTCAAGGCTGTTCTCCTGGTGCGGCAGAGGTGGCCCTTCTCAGATAAAACCCACAAACTCTGGACAAAATATAAGGACAGTTTCCTGAAAGCCCCAGCAGCTGAGACAAGTCAGGCTTATTGTGGGGGCGAGTTCCCGCTGTGCTCCGTCCTCAGGGCCGCTGCCAGCAGGGAGTGGCTGAGCTCCAACAGAAAACAGGCATCCTTTTGACAGCAGGTGGCTTTGTAAAACAAAATAAAAAAAAAAAAAAGAAAAAGAAAAAGAAAGGAAAGGAAAGGGGCTGGGCATGGTGGCTCACGCCTGGAATCCCAGCACTTTGCGGGGCTGAGGCGGGTGGATAACAAGGTCAGGAGATCGAGAATATCCTGGCCAACATGGTGAAACCCCATCTCTACTAAAAATGCAAAAATTAGCTGGGCATGGTGGCGGGCGCCTGTGGTCCCAGCTACTCGGGAGGCTGAGGCAGGAGAATCGCTTGAACCCAGGAGGTGGAGGTTGCGGTGAGCCAAGATCGCACCACTGCACTCCAGCCTGGCAACACAGAACAAGACTCTGTCTCAAAAAAAAAAAAAAAAAAAAGGAAAAGAGAGGGACATCTGGCTGGTGTGGAGGCTCACACCTGTGATCCCAGCACTTTGGGAGGCCAAGAGAGGCGGATCACTTGAGCCCAAAAGTTCAAGACCAGCCTGTGCAATAGGACAAAACTCCCATTTCTACAAAACAAACTACAAACATTAGCAGAGCGTGCTAGCGCACACCTGTAGACCCAGCTACTCAGGAGGCTGAGGTGCAAGGATCACCTGAGCCTGGGGAGGTCAAGGCTGCAAGTAGCCATGATCACACCACTGCAATTCAGTCTCAGCAATGGAGCTCGATTTTATTTAAAAACATAAATAAAATCTAAAAACAATAAGAAAACGGGCATCTTTCTGGCCTGAAGAAAGAAGAGACAGAGGATGGGGTGGCCACACCACTGGAAAGTGAAAGTAGATTCCCAGAAGGGGGCAGCTGTGGAAGAAGCCCCGTGGTGTGTGTGTAAACGCTGCCCAAGTTTCTGGCTGACCCTGAACTGTGCATGCATGGGGAGGACTCAGAGAATTAAACTGAACCCACTGTGGGTGACAGAGCTTCTGGTTTGAGTCTAACCATGTTACGTGCACATCGGAGTAACACTGTGAGTCTATTACAGAATCCAGTCTCCCCAACAGAATATTTACAATGTCCGGAATTACGTGACACATCAAGAATCAGAAACATAGGATCTATTCTCCAGGGAAAGACAATCAGCAGAGGCCAACCCAGAGATGACCCAGATGCTGGATTATTAGACACGGATTTCAAAGCAGCCATTAAAACCGTGCTCAATGAGGTAAAGGAAAAATGCCTGCAATTTATGAAAGGAGAGGAAAACTCAGGAAAGATGTAGAAAATATATTTTAGAATCCACTGGAAATCTTACAGCTGAAAAATACAATATTTGAACTAAAACATTCACTGGGTGAATGTATTAGTCTGTTTTCACACTGCTATAAAGATACTACCTGAGACTGGGTGGTTTATAAAGGAAAGAGGTTTAATTGACTCACAGTTCTGCATGGCTGAGGAGGCCTCAGGAAACTTACAATCATGGCAGAAGGCAAAGGAGAAGCAAGACATGTCTTCCGTGGCACAGGTGAGAGAGGCAGAGTAAGGAAGGGCCACACTTTAAAACCATCAGCTCTCATGAGAAATCCTCACTATCAGAACAGCATCTGCCCCCACGATCCAGTCACCTCCCAGCAGGTCCCTCCCTCCACACGTGGGTATTAAAATCTGACAGGAGATTTGGGTGAGGACACAGAGCCAAGCCACATTAGTGAGCTTAACAGCCGAAGAGATGACAGAGTAAGGAACCAGTGACTCTAAGGACAGGATCAACAGAACAACCTGATCTGAAGACTAGAGAGGAAAAAAGTTAAAAAAGACAGATTCTTAGAGATCTGTGGGACAATATTAGTATATGCAATTGAAGTACTAGAAAGAGAGAAAGAGAGAGAATAAAGCAGGAAAAAAAATTTTAAGAACTAGGCCAGGTACTGTGGCTTATGCCTACAATCCCAGAGCTTTGAGAGGCCAAGATGGGAGGCCGGCCTGGGCAACATAGCAAGACCCTGTCTCTTAAAAAAAAAAGTCGCTTGGTGTGGTGGTGCACACCTTCAGTCCCAGTTACTCAGGAGGCTGAGGTGGGAGAATCACTTGAGCCCAGGAGTTGGAGATTACAGTAAGCTCTGATTGCACAACCACACTCCAGCCTGGGTGACAGAGCTAGATGATGTCTCACGAAAGGAAAAAAAAAAAAAAAGAAAGAAAGAATGGCTAAAAAGGTCCTAAATGTGGTGATAGACATGAATTCACAAATTTAAGAGTTCAAGCCAAAACAGGATAATGAAGAAAACCAAGCCCACTCGCATTGCAGTCAATTTGCTGAAAAGAAAGGAAGTACCTTGGAAACAGCCAAAGGAAAATTAACACACTTCATAGAGATGAACAGTGATCTGAATTATGATGAACTTTTCTTCTAAACGTATGGAGGCCAGAGGGCAACAGAGCAGCATCTTTAAAGTGCTGAGGGGAAAAGCAAAACTCCTCTCAAACCAGAATTCTAGATGTAACAAAAATATCCTTTCAGAATGAGGCCAAATGAAGATGTTTTCCGATAAAAGAGAACGATACAAAGAAAGAGAAGGAAAGAAAACATATGAGGTGGAGAAGAAAGGTCACATTTTTAAGTTTTTCGTGGCATACTCTGCAGGGCTCCTGCGAGAACTTACGGGGTAGGAAGTAGGTTTCCAGGCTCCCACATGGATGCAATTAGAACTTATCTAAATTCTTTCATGTGTTTAATCTCATGTAGGTGCCTTAATGTTTAATTTTATCTGTCACTCCGGATCCCACAGTCTAAACCATTACCTGAATTATTGCATCCTTGTCAGGCCTAAATGCAGATTCTTTATCTATCAACAGCAAGATACTATGAATTATAGGAGATGTGTCGTTCTGAAATAAATAAGAAATAAATATTACTGATTAGCTTTCTAATTTTTAACTTCATTAATAGAATTGCCCAATTTTGATTGGTACTACTTTTGTCATAGTTTCCCAGAGTACCTACAGTGCATAAAACACAGTTGGCTTTGCCCTGAAATGTAAATTATTTGCCCTTATGAATTTTTAATGTAATCAGGTTTATCGAGGTATAATTTACATACAATAAAATTCCCCCTTTTCAGTGAATAGTTCTGTAAGTTTTGATGAAACCATAGTCCTGTAATCATCACCACCATCAAGACAAAGAACTGTTAAGCAACCCCAAAATTCTCTTGTGCCTCTTTGTAGTCAAGCCCTCCCCTATGCCCAGCCCCTGGCAACCGCTGATCTGCTTTCACCTCCACCGACTTGCCTTTTCTAGACATAAACAGACTAAGGCAGGAGTGGCCTCTCTCACTTAGTGCTGTGCATTAGGAACTCGTCCCTGTGTGGAGACTAAGGGTTTGTTCCTCTGTTTTGCTGAGCAGTATTCCCCGGTATGCCTCACCACAATCTGTTCATCCATTCACCAGCTGAGCAGTATTCCCCGGTATGCCTCACCACAATTTGTTCATCCATTCACCGGCTGAAGGATAACTGGGTTGTTTCCAGTTTTTGGCAATCATGGGTAAAGTCACTATAAATATTGTGTGAACACAAGTTTTCATTTATCTTGGATAAATATCTAGGAGAGGGATTTCTGGCTCATGTGATAAGTACGTGTTTTCCAGGGTGGCTGTACCATTTTGCATTTCCATCAGCAGTACCAAGCATTTGTTATTGTCAAGCTTTGTTGCTGTTTCTGTGTGTTTCATTTTGGTTTTCAGTTGCATTTCCCCAGTGATTAATGATGTTCGGCAAATTTTCATGTGCTTCTTTGCCATCTGTGTATCATCTTCAGTGAAGAGCACTCAAATCCTTTCCCATATTTTATTGGGTTGTTTTCTTATTACTGAGTTTTGAGATTGTATATATTCTATAGACAAGTCCTTTATCGGATGTGTGTATATTTTCAATTGTTTCATTGTGGTGAAACACTATTATCATCATTTTCCAGTGTACAGTTCAGTAGTCTTAGATACATTCATAATGTCGTGCAACCACCACCACCGTTCGTCTCCATAACTCTTTTCATCTTGTAAAACCAAAACCCTGCACCCGTTAAAGAAAAACTGTTCATTACCCTCTGCCCCTGGCTCCAGGCAACCACCATTTTACTTTCTGTCTCTGGGATCTGGGCTACTCTGAGTACTCTTAGAAGTGGAATGTTTGTCTTTTTGTGATTGGCTTATTTCACTCAGCATGTCCTCAAGATTCATACATGCTGCAGCATATGTCAGAATTTCCTTCCTTTTTAAGGTTGGATAATATTCCGTTGTAAGGATAGGCCACATTTTGCTTATCTATTCATCTGTTTATGGGTACTAAGGTTGCTTCTGTGTTTTAGATGTTATGAACAGTGCTGCTATGAACATAGTTGTATAAATACCTCTTTGAAACTCTGCTTTCAATTTCTTGGGTATATACCCAGACACAGTATTGCTGGATCATATGGTAATCCTATGTTTACCTTTTTGAGGAATTGCCAAACTATTTTCCACAATGAGTCACTATTTACTGTTCCCACCAACAGTGCGCAAGGGTTCCAATTTCTCCGTATCTTTGCCAACACTTGTTGTTTTTTTACAATAGCCAACCTAACGCATGGGGAAGTGGTATTTAATTGAGGTTTTGATTTGAATTTCTCTAATCATTTATGACATTGAGCACCTTTTCATGTGCTCATTAGCCATGTATATATCTTCTCTGGAGAAATGTCTATTCAAGCCTTTTGTTCATTTTTGAATTGGGCAGTTTGGTTTTCGTTGTTGTTGAATTTTAGGAGTTCTCTATATATTCCGGATATTAACCTCCTACCAGATACATAATTTGCCAAAATTTCCCCCCATTCTGTGGGTTGCCTTTTTACTCTGTCGATAGTGTCTTCTTATTTACTTGTTTTGAGACGGGGTCTCTCTCTGTCATCCATACTGGAGTGCAGTGGCATGCTCATGGCTCACTGCAGCCTTGATCTCCTTGGCTTAAGTGATCCTCCCACCTCAGCCCCTTAAGTAGCTGGGACTACAAACATGCACCACCATGCTCAGCTAATTTTCTTTTTCATAGAGACAGAGTCTCACTATATTGCCCAGGCTGGTCCTGAACTCCTGGGCTCAAGTGATTCTCCTGCCTCAGCCTCCCAAAGTGCTGGGATTACAGGAATGAGCCACCACACCGGGCTGGTAGTGTTGATACACAACATTTTTTAATTTTTGAAAAGTCTGATTTGTCTTTTTTTTCTTTTGTTGCTGGTTCCTCTGATGTTATATCTAATATATCACTGCCAAATCCAATGTTAGAAAGTTTCTGCCCTATGTTGTCTTCTAAACATTTTTTAGTTTTAGGCCTTACAATTAGGTCTTTGATCCATTTGAGTTAATTTTTTATATGGTGTTTAGGTAAGGGTCCAACTTCATTCTTTTGCATGTGGCTATCTAGTTTTTTAAGCACCATTTGTTAAAAAAGACTGTCTTTTCTCCATTGAATGGTCTTGGTACCCTTTTCAAAAATCATTTATGTATATGATTGTTAGTTTCATGGCTTTCTATTCTATTCAATTGTTCTATATGTCTGTTTTTAATGCCAGTGCCATACTTTTTTGATTACTGTTGCTTTGTAGTAAGTTCTGAAATCAGGAACTGTGAGTCCTCCAGCTTTGTTTTTATTTTTTATAATTGTTTTGGCTAGTTGGAGTCCTTTGAGATTCCCTATGAATTTCAGGATAGGTTTTTCTATTTTGGCAAAAAACGTCAGTGGAATTTTGATAGGGATTGCACTGTATCTATACATCACTTTGTGTAGTATTGATATTTCAATACAATATTAAGTCTTCCAATCCTTGAACATGAGATATCTTTCTATTTACATCTTCTTTAATTTCTTTCAGCTGTCTTGTAGTTTTCAGTGAAAAAGTCTTTCACTTCTTTGGTTAATTCCTAAGTACTTTCTTCTTTTCGATGCTATTGTAAATGAACTGTTTCCTTAATTTCCTTTTCAGATTGCTCACTGTTAAGTGTATAGAAGTGTGACTGATTTTTGTGTGTTGACTTTGTATCCTGCTACTTTGCTGAATTAACTTATTTTATTTCTTTCTTTTTTGTGGAACTGTTAGGATTTTCTGCATACAAGATCACATCATCTGGGAATAGAGATAATTTTACTTCTTCCTTTCCAGTTTGGATGCCTCTTCCCCCTCACCCCTTTTTCTTGTCCAATTGCTCTAGCTAGAACTTCCAGTAATATGTTGAATAGAAGTGGGCATTATTGCCTTGTTCCTGATTTTAGATGAGAAGATTTCAGTTTTTTGCCATTGAGTATGATATTTCCTGTAGATTTTTCATATAACCTTTATTATGTTGAGGTAATTTCCTTCTATTTCTAGTTTATTGAGTTCTTTCATCATTAAAGATGTTGAATTTTGTCAAGTGCTTTTTTTGGCATCAATTGAGATGATCATGTGTTTTTCCCCCTTCATTCTGTTTGTGTGGTATATTACACTGATCAGTTTTCATGTGTTGAACCATCCTTGCATTCCAGGAACAAATTGTACTCGGTCAGGGTGTATAATCCTTTCAACCTGCTACTGAATTTGATTTGCTATTATTTTGTTGATGATTTTTGCATCAACTTTCATAAGGGATATTGCTCTGCAGTGTTCTTTACTTTTAGTGTCTTTGGTTGGCTTTAGTATCACGGTCATGCTGGCATCATAGAATGAGTTAGGACGTATTTCCTACGTGAATTTCTTTTGAAAAAGTCAATAAGGAACTTACATGCTTGTAAAATATTTTATGGAAACTGAGTTTTGGCTTCACACTATGTGTGAAGACAAACTTCACACTATGTCTACCTTGTGTTAGAGAAGTTAACTGAGCTTTAGAGCAATGCATTGTGAACCTTTTTTGGTGAACGCTAGTAATAAACATATATATATTTTTTTCCACCCTGATGTCACTACCTTAGGTTTGCTAAGCAGGTATGGGCTCTTCCAGATTCCTCTTGTGCCCAGGTTACCTCTGGGTCAGCTTTGTTTCCTCCCCTAGAATCTGTTCCTTGACTGCCATTTCTGTCTAGGTGAAGCACAGACCACTGCCCAGGTGCCCAACCAGGGACAGCTCATGCTCATGCTGTGGTGCAGGGCCTCATGTTCCTTTCTTGGAGGCCTTGAGAATCTCTCAGAACCTCTCTGATCAATGCCTCCCCTGGCCCTGGGCCTCCCTGAGGCTTTCCTGACACTGTCTGTGCACTGGGGACTCCTGTCTAGCCTAGCTGGTGCAACCCAACTCGTGGCACTTCCTGTCTGGACCTCAGCCTGTGCTCTCTCCTCCCAGTCTCAGGGAGTCACCTCAGCCCCTTGCCCAGCCCAAGGTCCCTGTCACTTGCTCCCAGGCCAGCCGATCGGCTGGCCCAGCCACCCTGCCAGGCAGTTCTGGAGGATGCCACCGCGGGGCCCAACCTGAGTGGATCCCACTCTGTAAGGGGGGTCATGACTGAGCCTGTCTCCTCCGAGTCTCAGGTAGGACACTGAGATTTTCTAAGAAGAGCCACGTACTGCGAAAGTAAGAAGAAATCACAGGCAGGACTGACAGTAAGGAGGGAGACAAGAGGCAGGTTCACTTTAAGGTGAGGGGAGGCAGGCTCCATGCAAGAGGGGAAGTGTGGGGGAGAGAAGTGGTGGCAGCAGGGTGGAGAGAGAAGAGGGGAGACTGTGGCGGGAGATAGGAAGGAGGACTGCAGGGTTAGAGAAGAGGAGGGAGGACTGCAGGGTGGGGGGAGAGGATGGGGGGCCGCAGGGTCAGGGGACAGAAGGGAGGACTGTGGGGGAGGAGAAGAGGGGGGAGATGAGGGAGGACTCAAGAGTTAGGGAAGAGGAAGGAGGACTGCAGGGTGGGGGGAGAGGAGGGAGGACTATGGGGGAGGAGAGGAAGGAGGACTGCAGGGGAAAGAGGAGGGAGGACTTTAGGTTAGGGAAGAGGAGGGAGGACTGTGTGGGGGGGAGGAGAGAGGATCACAGGGGTGAATAGAAGGGAGGGCTGCAGGGTTAGGGAAGAGGAGGGAGGACCATGGTGGGGAGAGGAGGGAGGGTTACAGTGTGTGAGAGAGGAGGAACCACCATGGGGGTAGAGAGAAGGGAGGATCATGGAGGGGGAGAGGATGGAGGACCACGGGGGGGAGGACGGAGGGTCACAGGGTGTGGGAGAGGAGGGAGGGCTGCAGGGTGGGAGAAGAGGAGGAACGACTATGGGGGTAGAGAGGAGGGAGGACTGTGGAGAGGGAAAGACAAGAGTACCATGGGAAGGAAGAGGAGGGAGGGCTGCAGAATGGGGGAGAGGAGGGAGGACTGCCAGTGGGGAGAAGAGGGAGGCCCATGGAGGGGAAGAGGAAGGAGGACTCCACAGTGGAGTTCTGCCAGCACTGTCCCTGACTGACGTCTTTCCTGGCACAACCTGCCACCTGGTGTCCCTAAACTTGAGTTTCCTCAGTGAGTATAGGAGCCTCTGCCTCCATCTTCAGCAGGGACAGCAACGGCGTAATGGGTTTAGCTTCGTGGAGTGCAGGTGGGGCATGGGAGAGGGCACCCCGGGTTCTGTCCCTGTCCCCTCCCTGTCCCTGTTCCCTCCCTGTCCCTGTCCCTGGACACCCCGTCCCTGGTCTCTCCCCGTCTCTGGGCTCCCATCTGTCCCTGCTCAGGCAGTGACATCTTCCCATCCGCAGTGCTTCCCATCTCCTCTGGATGTTGCTTATGGTTCAATGCAGGGCCTCTAGGCCATGCACGGTGGCTCATGCCTGTGATCCCAGCACTCTAGGCAGCTAAGGTGGGTGGATCACTTGAGTCCAGGAATTCAAGACCAGCCTGGGCAACATGGCAAAACCCCATCTCTAGTAAACATAATAAAAAAATTAGCTGGGCATGGTGGCACATGCCTGTGGTCCTAGCTACTCTGGAGGCTGAGGCAGGAGCATGGCTTGAGCCTGGGAGTTTGAGGCTACAGGGTCCTGTAGCAATGGCACTGACCCTGTCTGGGGCTGCCAGGTTCGTCCCCACCTGGTTCATCCTTGCAGTGAGCCATGGCTGCCCCTTCCTCCTCTGTCCTTTGTCTGAAGGACAATGCCATGCCCTGCATCCTGGAGGGGCATAGCAGGGGCAGCCATACTGGGCAGGGATGGGGCTGTGCTGTCCTCCTGGGACAGGTGCCCCCCACCTGGGCCTGGCTGGCTTTGCTTTTTAGGTTTGCAGTTGCCCCCAGCATGGAGCTTCCCCAAGTCCCCAGTGGATGGGCCAAGTCCACCTTCCCCAGTGTTGTCTGTGTCTGGCCCCGGAGAGCAAGAGCTGGACTCATTGGGAAGACCCCAAGAAGGAGCGGGCTCTGCACAGGGGCCTGTCTTGAATCTTCACACTAAGCCTATGGACTGGCTACTCCAGAACCACGATGTGGGCGGCCCCAGCGGCACACGGCCCTGAGATGCTCTGCACACCCAAGGGACGTGACAACCCTGCCGTACCTGCAATCCCGCGAGGGCCTGGGAGACGGCAGGGGCGGCTGGACTCCTGCGTGCGTCCACCAGGATGACCAGACCCAGGTCCTGGACCTCCTTCCTGGGGACGGAAAGACAGCTGGTCTTAACCACCGAAGGTGAAATCTCTTACAAAAACCAGTTTCTCCACCTCCGAGACTAGTTGTTACTGGTTTCCTTTCAGCTCTAGAAGTTAGGGGTTCTCTATACACATCAGCCTTCCACTTCCTGAAGGTGCAGGCCCATCGGCTGGAGGCACCACCGTTGTTCCTCTTGCTAACCCGCCAGTGACGTCAGACAGTCTCGGCCGTGGGGCTGCGGCTACTTTCCCCTAAACACCCACCCATGCTCCTGGATGGACGAAATGGGCCCTGCTCCATCAAGGGGGCAAGGACTTCAGGGCCTTCTTGCCCTCGTGTATTTGTCTGGGCTTTAACATAAGCACAGAAGGTGATTCTGATGATTCTGATGGGATGTGGACGGCCTGTTCCCAAGACGGAAGCTTGAGATCAGTCATGAGGGTCTTTACTCTCCAGAGCCAAGCTAAGACTGTTAGAATATCTTTTAAAACTAAAAATACCATCACGTGGTTTTGAAAACTCCAATTTAAAAGTTTTGTCTCTGTGATTGTGACTAGAAACTTCACTTCAAAATTTAATAGGAGAAAATAGTAGGTCGGGTGAGCTGATATATTCATTTTACAAAATTTTAGGGTTCGGCTGGTCTGAAGGGAGTGAGTTATCTCATTTGATTGCTCACGCAGTTACAGATCAAACACCTTGTTCTACTCCTCCCCCCTTCTCACTACTACACTTGACTAGTCTTAAAAAATACATAGCCTGGGCCGGGCGTGGTGACTCACGCCTGTAATCCCAGCACTTTGGGAGGCTGAGGTGGGTGGATCACCAGGTCAGGAGATCGAGACCGTCCTGGCTAACACAGTGAAGCCCCGCATCTACTAAAAATACAAAAAATTAGCCAGACGTGGTGACTGGCGCCTGTAGTCCCAGCTACTCAGGAGGGTGAGGCAGAAGAATGGCATGAACCCGGGAGGTGGAGCTTGCGGTGAGCTGAGATTGCGCCACTGCACCCAGCCTGGGCAACAGAGCAAGACACTGTCTCAAAAAAAAACAAAAAACAAAAAACAACTATATATATAGCCTGGCGCTATGGCTACCTGGGAGGCTGAGGCGGGAGCAGGATTGCTTTAGCCCAGGAGGTTGAGGCTACAGTGAGCTGTGATTGCACCACTGTGCTCTAGCCTGGGCGACAGCAAGACCCTGTCTAAAAAAAAATAAAAATAAAAATAAATTGTGTGTGTGTGTGTGTGTGTTCTCTGAGAAACTTCTTCAGCTCTAATTCCACGATTAACTCCCATTCTAATTAAGCTGTGTGTCTGGACGCTGATCTTACAGCACTCATGTAGCCAAGGACACAACAGAACCCTGACTCAAAGCCGGCAGAAGCTGCACATCACACAGACGGCTGAGTCCTGGTCAAAAGAGTGAGTGTGCCCTCCCCGCCCCGTAGCCAGGTGTGTTTAATTTTGGGTGTCACTGGGAAGGATGTGTACAGAAAACAAGAAATGGTGTGTAGAAATCAAGGCTGGAAGCACACGGGTGCTGACTGTTTTGAAAGATGAGGTTAGGAGAGGCAGAGTCTGGTCATGGAAGCTGGCACCTCCCTGTGCCCCCCACTTTGCCACACACATGCAGCTGGGGTCCCACGGGTCTGCAGGGTGGGGCCTGGCCCCCCGTCCTACCTGGGGATGCTATGGAAGTACAGCAACAGTTGGGTTAGCTCGGCGCAGGACGAGTGTTCCCTGGTCCAGAGCGGGCTCCTGGTGCGGACCTGCACCACCGCTCTGCCCTGACGGTCTCGGGTCCCTGTGGAGACAGACACAGGGCAGCTGCCAAGGGTTTCACTCCTACGAGGTGGTGAGCTGGGTCTGTGCTGTTGGCTTAGATGTGAGACCCGCCCTGACAGGAGAGCCTGGTGTGTGCTCACCTGGGCAAGCGGCAGCCCATGCTCACCTGGGAGGGTGATGACCCCGGACTGCAGCAGCTCCTGGTTGACGTCCAGCACCCGCTTGGGCACCTGGCTGGGGAAGTCCCCTGTGCCCAGTGGCCACCCTTCTTGCTCAGGGCGTGGCTGCTGGGCAGGCGCATCAGAAAGCCCGCTGGGGTTGTGGCAATGGAAGCTGCCGACGTCTGTGCTGACGTAGGCTGAGGACGCAAGAACGTCTGGACAAAGGAAAGAGGCTGTGTCAAAGATGAAGGTTTTCCTGCGCGTTGAAGGCAGCTGCTCTGCTCAGCTTGCTACGCACCACGGGACAGAAACACGCATGAAAATAGGCGGTTCCATAAGAACTTGTCCCAGTTCACGTGGGAAGTGAAAGCATGTTCCACTGCACAGGGCACGCAGCGTCACACAGACAGAGACGGATTCTCCAGCTCACAGGCAGCTCCCTACCTGCACACCCCTCAGGAAGAACGGGTCATCGCATCCCTACTCATCTGCTCAAAGTGCAGCGTGTGTGACCGCATGCGGTGTGTGATTGCGTGTGCGTGCGTGGTATGTGTAACTCTGGCACGTGTGATTGTGTGAGGCATGTGACGGTGTGGTGTGTTACTGTGTGTGGTATGTGGAACTCTGGTGTGTGACTGTGTGTCAATCTGGAGAGTGTGATCATGCGAGGCATGTGACTGTGTGTGGTGTGTATGTGCGTGTGTCATGTGAGGCATGTGACTGCGTGTGATGTGACTGCATGTGTGATATGTGTAACTCTGGAGCGTGTGATAGTGTGAGGCATGTGACTGTGTGTGGTGTGTGATTGCGTGTGCATGTGTGTGGTATGTGGAACTCGAGCGTCTGATAGTGTGAGGCATGTGACTGTGTGTGGTGTGTGATTGCGTGTGCATGTGTGTGGTATGTGGAACTCGAGCGTCTGATCGTGTGAGGCATGTGACTGTGTGTGGTGTGTGATTGCGTGTGCATGTGTGTGGTATGTGGAGCTCGAGCGTGTGATCGTGTGAGGCATGTGACTGTGTGGTGTGTATGACTGTGTGTGCATGTATCGTGAGGCATGTGACTGTGGTGTGACTGTGTGTGTGCATCGTGTGAGGCATGTGACTGTATGTGGTGTGTGATTGCGTGTGCATGTGTGTGGTATGTGGAACTCGAGTGTGTGATCGTGTGAGGCATGTGACTGTGTGGTGTGTGATTGCGTGTGCATGTGTGTGGTATGTGGAACTCGAGCGTCTGATAGTGTGAGGCATGTGACTGTGTGGTGTGTGATTGCGTGTGCATGTGTGTGGTATGTGGAACTCGAGC